TTTTTTTGAGTTATGACACTATTGAAGTAAATGAGCTATATGTATTTACCTAAATATCATTTAAGCTTCAGCACATGTAGCTTGCTTTACTTCTGTGATACAAAATAGTAACTCCTGTTGGTTTTTTTGTTACCCTTTTGCACTACACACAGATTGGGCCCACTCTATTTAATTGTCAACTGCATAACCGACACCGGAAGTCTTATGATAGACGATCTATCAGTTTACCATTTTAGTTATCGAGCGTACGAGAAATGCGAATTGTATTGGTGGCGAAATGCACTCTTCATACAAAATCTCTTCACTCACGAGGATATGTGCATGTTTTGGACCTGGTCTTCGGCATGTGATATGCAATTTTATTTAATTAGCACAATTTTGCTCTTCGTTTATGTGAAGTAAGTATGCAGTGTGATAGCTAAATATGTACATACATGCATGAAAGTGTCATGCATTAAACCGCCTTCCTTTTCTCCTCTCTCTCTCTCTCTGCAGGCAACCGAAAGCGGCGCGAGTTCTTACACCTTCTACATCGGCCTGACTATGAATTTTCAATATTCATTGGAAACCACCTTAACACTCTTCACCGAGCTCTACATGCATCCGCTGTCACGCGTCTTCGCTTACATAATTGGCGGTGTAGCTGGCTGGTATTTCGTACAAAATCAAAAGCATCAACTCTATGCGGGTTTCTTTCAGAATCAATCGTTGCAAGAGTTTCTCGGTTATTTGGCGATTATCGTATTCTTCACTTGCAATTTTACAATCTTCGCTTCGGGGTATTCGAATTTTTATTACGTTTCGGTGTTGGTGTTGCACCGTTTGCTGTTTTCAGCGAGTGTTTGTTGTTTGATATTTGCAAAAGCTGCGGGTTGCGTAAAGTGGTTCTTTGCCATTTTGGAGAATCCAATTTTCAAGAAATTCAATCAAATCACCTATGCTTTGTTCCTAATGAATCCAATCGGTATTCAAGTGGTGGCGGCATTTGGCAATGCAAGTGTCCCCTCTACACCGCTTAGATTGGTGAGTTGATGATGCAAACAAACATATATATGTATTTTTTTTGTTCTATTTAAAAATGTTCTTGTTTCGTGTTATGTTGTTTTTCCTATATTTCAGTCAATGGATTATATTGCCTACTGTGCTATTCTCTACTTTATTTGCACGATTTTAACCCTGTTATTCGAGTTGCCCTACAAAAGTATATCAAGACTGATGCTGCAGCACGCCAAAGAGAAGCTTAACTAAAAGAATGTAAAGGTTTCCTCTGTCAAGGATTAAAGTTAAAAATTCAACAATGAATATGAATTATATTTGATTATAAAATTTATTATATTTTAAAACTTTCACCAAAATAGTTTGGAAAAATATTAAGATTTACGTGAGCTGGACCGATTTTAAAATACCTCCAAAAGTGGATTTTTTAATGAATAAAAATAGTTCTTTAAAAGATTTTTTTGAAAAAACTTTCCTTAGATGACAAAACAGATTAAGCTTACAATCTGAATAAAAATATTTAAAAAAAATGTCAACGGAATCATAATACTGTACAGCACTCGGCGGGGTAATGGACCAAACCAACTTTTTTAAAAAAAAGTAAGTTCTCCGTTTTTCCTCCGAAATCGAGATATGGGCCTTCGAAGTTCGAAATCGGACCTTCAAACTTATATTCCAGGTGCTATAACGGGTCAAAGGTCAGATCTTCGAAAAATTAAAAACTTAATATTTCAGAAAATTTTCAACTGATTTTTAAAAAATTCATATCGTTGTAAAAATGATTTAACCCCCTTTCTTGTGATATGCATATTTATATACTTCGTTTACAAAAATTTGAGACAGAACACATTTAAAGGAAAAAATAGCTTTTTTGTATAAAAAAATATATTAAACAAAAAAATTACTAACCGATTTTAAAAAAATTAGTATCGTTATAAATTCTTGTGATATGCACATTTGTATACCACGTGAATAAAAATTTTTATAAAAACACTTAAAAGAAAAAAAACTTTTTTTTATCGAAAAATATTTTAAACAAAAAAATTACTCACTTACTTCTACCACTTACTTTTTTCAAAAAATACTTAAAAAAAACTAATTTTTGGATGTTTTTTTTCAAATCGGTTCAGCTCACGTAAATTTTAAGATTTTGGTTAAAGTCTTAAAATATAATAGATTTTATAATTATATATTTATAATTTTTTTTGTATAGGGAGTAATGCCGTCTAATATACATATTTATGAGAGTTGATGTAGAGTTTTATAAAGAAATAAATTAATCGCTTGAGATCAGTACAGCTCACAGACTTGTACGGCTTTTTTCCCCATTTCACGAGTGCAATCAGCTGTACTATGTTAAAGGCTAAGTATCTAGTAGTTTGTACTGTTTTTGATTCTAAATTAACTTCGAGTTATCGGTTTTTTTTAGCGGAGAAAAAAGTAGACATTACGAATGAACATAAAAAAGAGAGATTATGATGACATTTGGTAAGAATTATTCTGGCAATAATTTGCGAGGGACTCGGTTGCGAAAATGTATGTAATTAATTAATTTTTAAAGAAAACTGGAATAAGTGTTTCTATCTATTACAGTACATTTATGACATGGTTTTTAAATTTAGGTCAAAAACCTCGACTAAGTTGCTATATCGCCCAAACATCGCACGCGGCTTTTTTAAAGGCAGTAAGGAGGATAATTGCAGAGCTTTGAGAATGAGTTAAACTTGGCCGGACTATTATCGAAGTGTGTGCCTGAGTGGAAGAAGATGAGACTGATAAATTGCTATTGAAAATAAATATGTATGAATATTAAAATTCGAAAAACACATTACACGTATGGTGCGATCAAAAAAAAAAATACGTACGTGCGACACTAGGCGGCTCAAAATCTGTAAGCCAGTAAAGCGACCTTGGGCCTAATGCAAAGCTAAAGTCTTCGGCAGCGGAGAAGGGAATCTATAACTAAATTGCTATGCAGGATCCTGTGGCAGATGTGGCGAAAATATTCGAGGTGGGTTATTTATCAGAAACTCCTGCAACTACAACAGAGGTCTTGCCGCCAGACGAAAGATAAAATACAGAATACTCGTATGAGTTACAATCACCGTCAGAAAAAGCTCAGCATCTGCGGATTATTGTATAGGAGTTGGGCATGCCAAGAGAACTGTACCATGCCATGAAGAAGCAACCGCGAAACATAAATAAAAATCTATCGGGCTATAGACCGGCTCTACGACCTACAGAAAGAGGAGTTAGCAGAGGAAAAAAGGCGTAACCTGCAAATGGAGAGGTTGAGTCCTACGGAAGTAGAGGATAATGTACTACTGGAACTAAAAGACTTCTGGAACAGGGGGAATTAAAATGGAAAATATTCTAAGTACTAAGCAATAATAAAAAAGAACTGTTAATTAAATTTTTTATTTTTATTTTTTTACAAATAATGAAGTTCAAAAATATAGGTATCTGAATTAAAAAAAATTAGTTGAGTATACAGCTCTTGGTCGAATTTTCACACGGTAAGTTTTTTTTCTTATTATGCAAAGTTTACCGTTGATTTTCAGCAATTTTTTTGTTGACACTGTCAGTCATTTTCTTCCATACGAAGTAGTAGGTATGTCTGAACATTTTCTTATATGGAGAGAATGATCTACAATAATAATAATAGATTGGCGCTTCTCCTCCGATTTGTGGCGTGCGCCTTGATGTTGTCACACAAAGGGGTAGGTCGCAGTTTTACGCCGACTCCGAAAATATAATCGGAGGCTTGCCATTGCCTGCCGAGGGGGGACCACTGTAAAGAAAAAAACATTTTTCTATATCTTTTTGCGATCTTACTTTGAGCAGGGCTTGAACCCAGGCCCGGCGAAATGGTAGCGCGTACTGCTAACCACTACACCACAGCGGCCGACAAAATGGTCAACACCTTCAACGAAAAAAAAAAATGCCAAAAATCAACGGTAAGCCCCAGCCAGGGCTGCCAACTATCTGTAGCTGTGAGGCGCCATTTTGAGGATAAAAAAGTGCCAAAATGTGCCAAATAGAATAATAAAAGTGCCAAAAAAGGTTCCATCCTTTTTAATCTTTCCCATTTAGCAATAAAATAAGAACCACATTTCTAAAACAAAAGTGCAATGCCAAAATAAGATAAACCAGTTGAATAATCTTTAGAAATTAAAAAAATTTTAGTTGAGAAAGAGAAGTACGCGTAAAGGATTTCACAAAAATCTATTGAATTATTACTATTTTTGAAAAGTGTCATTTTGTCACTTTGTGCAAAATTGAAAAATTAAGTGCCATTTGATGTTAAATAGTGCCAAAAGTGGCACGGTTTGAGCCAAGTTGGCAACCCTGGCCCCAGCTACTTTAAATTTGCACTTTATTATACCAAAATTGAATAAGTTACCAAATTCAGTTAAAACAAAAAAATGCAGGGTTGTCTCCTGTGTGAAAATTTTCGATTAATTAAATTGATAAAGTAAATTAAATAGTATAATATGGGTATGAATCCAAAGGAGTTTAAGAAGGCTTACATTAGAAAATAATTTTGAGGAGGGTTGCCACCTGTTTGGTTGCATATCTTTAAGCAATGTTTTTAAGAATTTCCTCAACAATGGCAAATAAAATAAATGCTAAGTTAGTTTTTTCTTCATTTGGTTTTGGATTAATGTTTAGACTGCGGATATTTGTGCAGAAAACGAAGCCTAAAAATATGTACCACATAGTAACTAAAAGGTATACGAATTTATATATTTTGCTAATAGTTAAGTGATACATATTTTTAGGCTTAGTTTTCTGCGAAAGAATCCTTGTTTATTTATGAGAAATTATTACATTTTTTTGAATTTATTGAAAGATTTAACAAGGTGAAATAACTTGATTTCAGCATGATTTGCTTATATATTATGTATGAGCCGTAATGGAAATTGGTTTTTGGTTGAGCACCTTGGAATTTGTCTAAAATATTCTACGATTTTGGACAGACTGATGTTTTGTATTGATGCGTTTTGAAAAACAGTATTTTATACATTTGGCAAAAGCAAAATTTATATTGAGCTTTATACCGTCATACCTTGACTAGGCTAATCGCTCCCACAAAAATATTATTAATCCTCTAGTCTTGTTATTTTGTCCTTAACGTGGATGATCCTATTAAACTTAATCGATAAAAAAAAAAAACACAACTAAAACTAATCCAGTTCGTGAATAAAAACATACATGCATATTCATAAATAAATATTATTACATACGACGACAATACTTTAAAATTATGGGTTTATTCCACAGAGTGCTTGACCACTTAAATAATAGATACAAATGAATACATATGTATGTATAAAAGTAGTATGTAACATGAAAACTAATTAAAACACATTTCCAATAAGTTTACTTAAGTATTATACTCGTTGACCTATTGCTCATATGACGAGTACATACTCTATTATTTTAGTACTTACTAATTTGTTTAAAATCAGTAATATTTGCACATTAGATCGTACCAGAAAAAAAGTTTCTGAAGTACTTTTGTAAGGCAATTTAGAAATTTTTTTTTTTTGTCCGAACGTAGGAGTCACATTTTTCATCAAATCTTCGGCATTCGCAGTTGGATCTTAAAGTGATATTTCGAATCTTTTGCCTTGAGAATACGACTTGTTGTTCCACTATATATATACACCTCAAGTACACCATTCTAGTACCTACCCACCAGATCTCGGCTCTTATCATCCTAACGTACCACCCCAATGCCAGTAAACTTAAGCTCGTCAAAAATAAAAAATAAAAATAAGCAATTATTGCAGCAAGACTATTTCGAAATAGTTGCTTAACGTAGCTGTCACCGAAAAATGTAAAAAGCGACTAAGGAGTGTACAGCGAATGTTTATCTTTGCTTGTAAGATGGTACGGTCTAATGTACATACATACATATGTACGTACAAACGTTAAAGACTATGTCGCATGCGTGCATGCTTAATAGCTTTATGTTGTTTATATAAATTTTCCCGGTGCCAATCTAAACACACAGCAAACTGGTTTTACTCAATGACAATTATTAGATACTAGTCAATAGTTCAGTTAGAAATTAAGTGTATTTAAATTTTTAAATGCAAGTGTTATATTCACGTAATAGAAGGCGGTTTTAATATAAAATTGTTACATCATTGAGAGGATTGGGCCGCTTTTCTGAAGACAACTAATATATAAATTTACTTTTATCCAAAAAAAACTTATCGATGTAGTCTGCTAAAATTGCTTAATGAAATTGTATTTTATATTTTAAGTTAAATTTAATTTTTAGAAAGTTATTTTCTGTATATTTTTAAATAATGTTTTTTTGTTTAAATTTTTTTTTTAATTTTTAGATTTTAATATTAAAAAAAAATAATTTTCAATGTCATTTAATTTTTAGAAATTTATTTAATTTTCTTTGATTAACTTTTTTTAAACCTAACTATCTATTAAATTTAAGATTTAATTAATTTGAAAAGAAAATACTTTTTGAATGCAATTTGCTGTTATTTTAAAAAGGAAAATAAATTTTTTTAATTTCGTTTAATTTTTAAAAACTTTTTTTTTAAGTTTTTCTTTTTAAAATTTAATTGTCTTTAGTTTTTAGCTTTTATTGTTTTAAGAAGAGAAATATCTATAAATTTAAAATGTTTAATTTTTACAAAAATAATTGCTTAAGGCAAACAAAGAAACGCTAAGACCAGCCCGTTAGCAGATCTTTCAATTAGTCTTTCGAAAGACAAAAAAGAGCTTTCAAGACAATTGCCGGAATTGATAACCCTTTTAGGAAAGACTTTTATCTTTCGAAAGTCTGTAGTGAGTTCAAGATAGTTGCCAGAAAAAATATTAAAATGTTAAGCCCCCTCGGGATTTTCTAAAAAATTATATATAGAAAAATATTGAATTTCAAGGTTTTTGTGCCATTTTTACGAAAAGCATTTTTTCTCTATATAAAATACATGGAAAACTTCATGGGCTTTGAGGTAGTTCTAAATATTATTTTTCAACAAAAAAATGTGTTCGGGTATTATTTTTTTTTCATTTGAAAAATCCCTCATGTATTTTTCATCCACCTTAATATACCTACATATGACTGCATCACTCCCTTTACAAAAAAAAATCGGTACTGTTTTTCCATTAGAACTATAAAATCTATTATATTTTTAGATGTCCACCAAAATATTTCGGAAAAATACGAAGATTTACATGAGCTGGACCGATTTGAAAATACCTCCAAAAATGGAGTTTTTTTTTAATAAAAATAGTTTTTAAAGATGTCTTTTGAAAAACTCCCCTCAAATGACAAAACGGTTTAAGCTTAAAAAAATTTGCATAACAATATTAAAAAAAATTAAAAAAAAAAAATTTGAACGTAATCGTAATAATGAGATTTTTGTGCTGATTTTTAACTTTTTTCAAAGATTGGTATAAGAAAAACTTGAATAACTGAACTTAAACTCTTCCGATTTAGGCTTGTGATCTCATTGGAAAGGTATTTTCTCACCCTTTTGTTTGCTAATAAACTCATTCAAATGATGAAAGAGAAAGGTAGGATGAACGAACATCATTCAAAGTTGAATTGAGATGTGTTGGTATTTGAAAAAAAAAATTGGGATACGAATGACTTTTTCTGCACAGAAATAAAAATAGTGGGAAAATATCTTTCCACTGAGATCCCATAAGTCTAAATCAGAATAGCTTTGGCCCAGTTATTCAAGTTTTTTGTAAATCAATCTTTGAAAAAAGTTAAAAAAAACAGCATCAAAAATCTCATTATTACGATTCCGTGAAAAGATTTTTAAATATTTTTATGCAGATTTTTTAAGCTTGATCTGTTTTGTCATCTGAGGGTTTTTTCAAAAAGTTCTTTAAGAAAATATTTTTATTATTTTTATTCATATTGGAGGAATTTTCAAATTGGTCCAGCTCGCTAAAATCTTATTATTTTTCCAAAATATTTAGGTGAACGTCTTAAAATATAATAAATTTTGTAATCTTGGCGGAAAAACCGCAACTTTTTTTGGTGATGCAGTCTAATGTACATATAATGAAAATATGTACTTTATTTTTACTACCAAAATATTGTCACCATAAGTATTTTGTTTTTTGTGACCTTTACCCAACCGCCCTTAAAGATGTTACATAACCTAATTTTAATTTAGTAACTGCAGCTGGGCTTCGACTGCCATCTTGATGTTAGCAAAATCTACACAACAGTCGGCATCGAACCCCCAACCCTCTGATACAAAGCAGTTATACTGCGAACAATAACATTCTATGTTTGAATGTGAACGGGCGTACTTTCATCGAGCAATTAATTATACCGGCTTCTGAGATTACTGTTATTACATATGTATGTATGTACATATGAAGTTGGTATATATTTTACTAATAAGTAATAGCGATCATTTAACGAGTAGATCAAGTGTAATGCGTAAGCTGGTTAATTACAATGATTTCATTGCATTCTAATTTAATAAATATCAGCAAGAAAGACATTTTACTTACAGTTTTCAATGGGTTGCGTGCGGCGCTATGATAGCTTGAATTCTAACGCGTCAAACGGAAAGTGAAATAAAACCGCAAACTATTTACATAGTGCGGGTATTTTTGTGAAGTGAATGTGAAATATTGAATATCCTTCTTCATATACTGTTGAAATTCAAAGGCAAAAGTGAAGCAAAAGTTGGGAGAATAAATATTTAAATTTAGAATAATAATTTGTAGTGAATTAGAAAATTATTAAAATTGTAAAATAAAAGTTGTATAAAAATTTAATGAACATTTATTAAGTAAACTGTGCGTGCATTTGTGAAAAGTTTTAAGAAATTTTATATATGTACATAGAAAAAAATACTATGCAAAATGTGTAAGAAAAAAATTTGGCAAAGAATCTTTGAAATATGCAATAAATGATTCTACAATATAGAATTTAAGCCCAATTCTTAAAAAAAATTTAGAACTAAAATTTTTTAGAACAGTTGGGTGAAAAGTTACAAGTGAATTGAAAGTAACTGAAAACTAAATCAAATACGCTTCAAAATGTTGCTGCCGCTCAGAATATATCCACTTGGTGTATTATCTATACTGCTAAGTTGCTGTGCGTTTTGTACGCCAGCTCTTGCCGATCCCAACAGCGCTCAATTCGAGTTAATGCAACGATCGTCGATTTTATTTGGCTTGACAACAATCAGTCGCCCAGATATGGTTAGTGCAAGTTGTTATGGACAACTGCAGGATATACAAAAGGCCATACTGCAACAACAACCATGGGCAATGAAGAGTGAGTGTGAAATAATGAAATGTTAAAAAAAAATATTTTTGTTTTGGAAAAAAGCTTAAAGTGCATACAGTGAAATATTTAAACATTACATAAGGGCGGTCCTTAAAGTTGCAAAAATATATATAAATTTATCAGATTTCAAGGCAAAATTTTTGGATTTGCGACGCCTAAATTTTTTTCAAAATTTTAAAAATTTTTCTGGATATTTTTTTTTTGTATGTACAACACAATAAGGTCCACCACGGTGAAATGCAAAATCTTTCAAGCAAAATTTTATGAAATGCAAAAACCCCTTTTCGTATTAAATAATCGGTAAACTAACCAGACAAACATTCTCCCGCTTCTAACCTGCCTGCCATATAACTCCCAGTTGAGGGCTAATTAGCAACTCTTGGACCCGTGAGTGGTCGATGGGCACCCAAATGTATATATGTATGTACATTAGGGTGGTCCTTTAATATAGGAAGCAAATTTTTATGTCCTAAGCCTCAACCCTTACGTCGGTGCTACTACAGTCGAAGATATTACATATAAATTCTGGTCCCGATTGGAGACGGTGTCGCACATGGGGCAAAGTTCAGATTCCTCTATAGAGGCTCAAAAAATTAAAATCATTATTTTTTTTCATCTAATACCCAAAATCAATACTACTAAAGTCGAGGATATCACATATATATTTTGGTCCCGATTGGAGTCGGTTAAGGCGCGTCTCCAATCGGGAACAAAGTTTATAAGTGATATTCTCGACTATAGTAACATCGACGTAAGGGTTGAGGCTTAGGAAATATGACGTAAAAATTTGCTTCCTACAGTTAAAGACCACCCATATGTACATACATACATATATACATTAGGGTGCCCATCGACAGTTTTTTTTTAATTTCAAGACCCTACGCCAGAATTTCCTTCCATTATGTGAGAAATATTATTATTTTTATAGATTCTTTAAAAATCGTTTAGAGGTCGTGCTTTTACATTTAAGTCAGAAAATAAGGTTATGTAGAATTTTCCACCTTTTGGATCGAAATAGTGAAAAACTAAAAATAGCCGCAGGAAGGGATTTTGAATCCCTGCAAAATACCGTTTGATTGTTTGTAGGGCTTGAATGGAGTCCAACCCAATATTCGAGGATATTGTGAAAAACAAAGAAAACAAAAATTGCCGCAGGTAGATTTTGGCAAATCCGAAATGCGATAGTTTTTTATTTTTCGCATCTAGTTCATATATAGTACAATATCCTCAAACAAAATTTTTCTTAACAATAAAGTTTGAAAAATTCGTGCCAAATATTTTCTATTAAAAAACAACAAAAACAAAGAATTATCGTATCTGCATTTAACATCCATAAACAAGGTTCCATTGGATTTTTGGAAATAGTGTCACTGCAACTGAAAATATCTTAATTTTTAGCCGACAATTCTCACTGAATTCTTCAGCGAATAGAGTGATCAGAAGGCTTCTCGAATTGCCAAGGCCTTGTGCGCCTCGTATTTTCACCAGCGGCGATGTTGAAGTACTATCAGGATGGCAAAAGCCTCCCGCTCCATCGTTCCTGACGGAATATGTATGCTGGTGCTGAATAGGTTGGACCCGGTGGGACTAAAGCACCTCACCAAACTCGTCAAACTTACGCAGACCACTCTCGTCAGTCTCGAGTGGGGACTTTTGCGTGAGTGATACTTAATGCTTTATAAGGAAGACACTTCAAACCTGAGTAAAGTGCACAACACCTCGTCTTCGAGTCATATTCTTAATCACCCTTGTGCGAGAGCAAAGACGTTCAATACGGCTTGTCATTTCACCATCCTGAAAGACATTGAGTCCACTTCTCTTTCACAAGGACTGAGTGGTCGTCAGTCGTCAGTAATACCTCGTGATCATTATAACTCAAAGCCCAGAAAAATCTAGTAGAAGTCCCACACGGTGGTGTCTTTTCCTGCGTTTGTGTAATTTTTACACCTCAAGGCTTCGCCAGCTACCAGAATGGCGTCGGCAGTGGAATTGACCTTCTACCCTATGAAATTCTGGGCAACGTTTTTTTACCACGGTAAAAAAGAGGTTAAGCGCCAGCTGCGAGTTCACGTCTATGTTATGCCAATTCCCACAGAGAATAAACTGAGAATTCTCGGGTCAGCTGCTTTCCTTCTCAGCGCACATAACCACAAGAAAGTGCTCAGTGCTCTGGATGAGATCCAGAACTACGTACGGCAATAACTGGACGCGACGCAGTTTAGCCAGGCATTTATCGAAATTCACATAGAGACTGTTATCGCAGTCCAATTACGACCTGACGTAGGGAAAGGTCTATCTGACACAAAAATGGTCTGCATAAATAAATATTGTAGCAGGTGAAAATTCTACCTATCCACACTTGACTACGACGTACCTCTCAATATGTCTCCTTAAACCTACTCCACTAACACCGCTTTCTTTTTGGTCCGAATCCCACGAAAGAGCACGTTTCTTGGATCTAAAGTTAGTTGAGTTTGACGATAACGATTGAAAGGTTCTTTTATAATAGGCAGAGCATGATTGGCTCTAAACCAAATTAGTGCGGGACCATCTCTGAGGTACCACCTTTCCATTAAAATGAATTATAGAAATCGGTTAACGTGGCCCGCAAAGTTATGCGGCAACATATATAAAAAAAAATCCGACGAATTTATAACCTCCTCTTTTTTTGTGAAGTTGGTTAAAAACATATTTCAATGAATCAAGGTAGATGATGCCTGTTTACTAGATTAAGCATAAATCAGCTGGAATAAGAACTATTTCATTTGTAATTTCGCTTTTCTCTCTCTCTCTCTCTCTCTTCTCCAGTGTACGATGCTACAGGTTCCCGAGAGCCTGGCTTTGTGACAGGCAATGGCTTATGGCTGGGCAGCCGGGACTCTTGTAATGCCGTTAAGCAGCCAGTCAATCTTAAAATATCTAAACACATAGCACACAAAATGAATTCGAAATTAATCACAGACATTGCACCATTCCCTGTCGACTTTCGCGTCGTCCATCTCTGGCATAACTCTACCTGGCAAATGGATCCAAATTTTCCATACTTTGAACCACGCGTCAGTATCGGTCTTTGCCTGCCAACCGCATGCACACTTTCCGAGATAGCCCAACTAATGGCCATTTATGTAGAGGATGAAATATTTGTAGCAAATGATATATTTAATTTGCGGTTACGTGTCGACAGCGTTAAGGAACTTAAAATGCGTCCGGGTTCTTTAGCGCGACCTTCGTGGATAATTTTCTCTGTTGCATGGTCCTTGACTTTGCTATTGACAGCGATGGCTTTGGTTCGGCGCATGAAGAGAAATAATGAAACGGCAGGCGTTGTGGCTGACGGTGATCGAAAGACGAATAGTGCAGATGTAGCGGTGACGAAACCAGAATCGAGTGCAAAACCATTAGCTGGCAAAGGATATTTGGATTGTTTTGATGTGAAAAATAATTGGGAATTGCTATTTCCAGTGGATGCGGCTGGTGTAGTGAGCGGCAACGATGCGTTTCCGGGAGTGAATGGCTTGCGTTTCTATGGTGCGATGGGTGTGATTTTATTTCATCAACTATGCGTTACCTATTTGGCGACGAGCAATAAGTCGGAACACTTCAAATTCATCAGTAATTTGGGAAATTTCGAGGTCTTTGTGGATTTGTTCTTTACAATAAGGTGAGTTCCAAAGAAAGGGATAAAAGATTGAAGGAGCTCTTTTTTAAATTATTCGATTTTTTGCTTATAAAATAAGGATATTTTTAATTTCGTTGAAATTTTAGAAACTTATTTTTTTTTATTGTTTTCAAATTTAATTTATTTTTCTTTTGTTAATTTCATTTTCTTTTAATTTTTAGATTTTATAATTTTAAAAAGAAAAATTCTTTCTATTTCATTTAATTCTGTCGATTTTTTTTTGATTAACGGCCAAATATAAATAAAAAATATATTTCATTTAATATTTGGATTTTATTTTATTATTAATTTTAATATTAAGATTTTGTTTTAAAATTCAAATTTTTATTTTTTTTTTAATTTTTAAACTACTTTCTTCTTTTTTGATTCCATTCTTTCTTTCTTCTAATTTAATCTTTAGGTTTTGGTATAAAAGGAGAATATATAATATATTTTTTTTAATTTTATCTCATCTTAAAAAATATTTGAATTTATTTTTGCTTAGTTTTTATTTTAATATTTTTTATTATTTTTTATTTAGTTTCCTTTTTTTTGTTGGTTTCAAAAAGAAAAAAATATATAGTTTTTAATTAATTAAATTAAAAAAAAAACTTATTGCTAAAATTCGAACAGCATAACGCTTAGACCTCCTCATCAGCTGATCTTTCAATTAGTCTTTCGAAAGGCAGTAAAGAGCTCTCAAGGTAGTTGCCGCAATTGAAAATTTTCTAACGTAAGACTCTTTGCTTTCGAAAGACTGTGGTCTGTTAAAGGAGAGTTGCGCCTTATTAATTTTCTAATTTATCTTTCCACTCTTTTTTGATAAATTTTAGTATCGACACATTTTCAACTACGGAAACGTTATGAGAAAAATTTTGCTCACGCTAAGAAAGTTCTCTGCAAGTAAGTTCTTTAGACTTTTGTTCCTGTTTTATTCTTTGCCAGAACTTTCCGTAGACTTTTGTTTTAATTTTATTTTCTTGGAAATATTCCCGAAAGTGTTGTTCGAATGTTGTTGATGGGTGTTTTGACCGGACATCCCGATTTTCAGTTTTTTTATCATAATTTAAGAGTGTGGGGATGTATTAGAAACTCTGTTAATGCCAAAATAATTTTTTTGAATACTTCAACCACCTTTACTACATAACATAAAAAGTACATGAAACCATTTCTTTGTGTAGCTCCGTCTAATTTTTTTACTATATATTTCTGTTACTCGTATACCTAATTTTTTAAGTTTTATTTTCAGTGGCTTCTTACAAACATATCATTTCTTCCGGAATCCCATCACAATTGATATAATACGCAAATCTGGCTTATGGAAGAATGTGATGCTAATACTCATGTATTTACTTCATCGCTTGATTAGGTAAGTGCCGGAAAAATATTGTACTACCTTATGGCTAGGTTGGGATATGCTAAGTGGCACGTAAAGGCCTCGTAGCCTCGTAGGACCAAAAGACCGTAGCATTGCCAGATACACAATAAGTCGTTGCTTAAAATACTAAGGAAATGTTAAAGAACATTGCTGCCCCTTTAGCGAAATGTAAGTGGACTCTTTAGGACTTTGTCGATTGCCGTTAGCATGATTCCATGATTCTTGAGCCTGCAGTTCCTATTGTTTTCAAATAATAGGTAAGTTTTCTATATCATATTCTCCACATAGTATTTACAAACCTGAGGCCCTTCGTATGTTTCCATACCCCATCTTCCTGACCATACCTGAGCAGATTGTGTGAACGTTTGATGTCGGTAGAGGAATTGAAACGTACATCGTTAGTGGGCCCTCTAGAAGACCCTCATCTTTGGCTAAATCGCCAACTGTTTTCCGCAATTCTCTACACTTTTTGTGCTGCGGCCCAACAAAGCTGATGATTTTTGCTCAGGCTAACTTTCCTTCCTTCTTAGTCAAAATATAGCCTAAATGTGTATACGCATATTTTATTTCCTGCAGTTTCATTGAAGAATAGTGAGCCAGTTACATAGATATATTTATCTACGTAGCATCAACTATTATCTCCATATCCGTATGGCAATAATCAACCTCTTGAAACTTTGACAGATATTTCGAAGTTCAAATGCGGTATCATATATTTAATTTATTCGGTTTTTTAAGGATGACGCTAAACTTATATAACCAAACGTATATACTGAATCCGGGCTGGCCCAAGCTAAAATCCTCTCAGCTTTTGTAAAGGCTATGTTTTACTAGGCAAAACCTGCCCTTTTGTACCATAAATACGGTAGTGTTACCATAAGTAGCTGTGTAAAATTTTAGGATGTAATGATACAATACACGTAATAACTCTTCTTCTTATCTTTCTCTTTCGCACTGCACATAGATTGGGCCCACTCTATTTAATTGCCATCTGCATGAGCGATGCTGGATCTCGTATGATGGACGATCTATCAGTTTTCCATTTTAGTCATCGCGTATATGAGAAATGTGAATTGTATTGGTGGCGCAATGCTCTCTTTATACAAAATCTCTTCAATCACGAGGATATGTGCATGTTTTGGTCCTGGTCTTCGGCATGTGATATGCAATTTTTCATAATTAGCACAATTTTACTCTTCGTTTATGTGAAGTATGTAGGCTGCATACATATGCACATTAGAGTGGTCCTTAAAAATATGAACAATATGGTACACGCTTTTATTGTATTCTATGTACAACATTTCCATTCAAGATTTTTTAGGCTTTTTACATTAAAAAACCTTGGTCGCGACCGCCAACAATTAGTTTAAAATTTCGAAATTTTCGTGGATGTCTTTGTTTTGTACGTATTTTAAGGACCACCCTAATGTGCATATGTGTATATATTTATATGAAAATATCACGCATTAAACAACTTTCCGTCTCTCCTCCCTCTCTCCAGGCATCCGAAAGTGGCAAAAGCGCTTACGCTCTCCATTTTAGCAGCCAATTTGGCATACACCTTCTACATCGGCCTGACCATGAATTTCCAGTACTCCTGGGAAAGCACCTCGTCCGTTTTCACCGAGCTCTACATGCATCCGCTGTCACGCGTTTTCGCTTACATAATTGGCGGTGTAGCTGGCTGGTTTTTCGTACAAAATCAAAAGCATCAACTTTATGCGGGTTTCTTTCAGAATCAATCGTTGCAAGAGTTTCTCGGTTATTTGGCGATTATCGTATTCTTCACTTGCAATTATACAACAATCGCTACTGGGTATTCGATTTTATACTACGTTGTGTTGTTGGTGCTGCAACGTTTGCTGTTTTCAGCGAGTGTCTGTTGTTTGATATTTGCCAACGCGGCAGGTAGCGTAAAGTGGTTCTTTGGCGTTTTGGAAAATCCAATTTTCAAAAAATTCAATCAGATCACCTATGCTTTGTTTCTGATGAATCCAATGAATATTTCATTAGTGACAGGATTTGGCAATGCGAGTATCAACATGACGCCGCTAAGATTCGTGAGTTGATGATTAAAATATTTGTTTTTTCTGTTTTGTCTCTAAATTTTTTTCCAATTTTTTTTCCTTCGTTTTATTTTTTTCTTAATTTTCAGTTAAGTGATTATATTGGCTATTGTGCTGTTCTTTACTTTTTCTGCACAATTTTCACCCTGTTCTTCGAGGTGCCCTACAAGAATATATCAAGACTGATGCTGCAGCGCGCCAAAGAGAAGCTTATCTAAAAGGGTGTTAAAAGTTGCGGCTGTGAATATTAGTTTAAGTTTTAACGTAGCGAAGTATCTGCATATTTATTTCCTTATTATCTAACAAAAACCATATAAATTCATAGTTCAAACTTTGTGCAAAAATTATAAATATTCTGAGAAGTTGCATCTAATTTTTTAACTTTTTATTTTAATTTTTCAGAATTTTTTGAGTATGCAGTTTTCTAGCCCATTAAATTTTAGTATAATAAAGTGCAAGTTTGAAGTTGCTGAAAATTTTGTTTTGATTTTGTAAATTTTTTTTTATACATTTTCTTCCATACAAAGTATATTCGACTTTTTTTTGGATAGTGTGTGATACTGTAAAAAAAAACATTATTAAAAATCAACACAATTCTTTTTCAACGATTCTTTAGCGAAAAAGTTGAACATTTAGATGCAACTTCGCTGAATTTTCATAATTTTTGCACAAAGTTTGAACTATGAATTTGTACGGTTTTTGTTAGATGATGAGCTGTACTTTTATAAAAAAAAAATAATAAATATTAAATAAAAGAAAAATTTGAATTTTTTTTAAATATTGCGTTCCTTTTTTTGAACAACTGTGTGTATGAATATAGTGCATTTGTATGTATAGTACTGTATGTATAGTATAAAAGTTGATGAGGTTTTTTTGCAAAGTAATAAATAAAAATAAAATATCATTATACAAAGTTTGCTATATCAGAATGTGACACTTGAGGTGAGTTGATATGAGATGAGCGATGTTATGATGATACGATGTGAGGTGGAAGTATGTCATGTCATCTTATGTCATTGGATTTTATGTGATATCATGTCGTGCGTTGTCATGTCATGTGATGTCGTGTAATGAGATCTCATGTCATGTGATATCATATCATATGATATTATGTCATGTGATTTCGTGTCATGTGATATTATATCATCTGATAGTTTGTCATGTGATGTCATGTCATGGAATTTCATGTCATCTGATTTCATTTCATGTGATATTATATCATGTGATATTTTGTCATGTGATGCCATGTCATTCGGTATCATCTCATGTGATTTCAGGTGCTGAAATTAGGTGTTCCCGTCCCAACCGCTTCCGGGTGCACCATTTCTGTTGCATTTGCCATTTTGATTTTTTTAAATTTACTCCCAATCAATAAGCCCAAGCTAAAGCAGTCTT